GTATAATCTACCTTTGAAATTTATCGTAATGACAAATTGAAAATTCTCTGTTTACATAAAACCTGTTCAAATTCTAAACTTGTCCAAGTATTCATCAAGCAAGAAGTCTCTTCCACTGATTGATTTTCGAAGATAGCTAAACACGAATGAATATGAATTGAGTAATGAATAACTCATAAAAAGTGTCGAAAACTTTTTCAAATAAGCGCTGTACAGAGCGTTCCAATAGACACTCGACCTCACTGTAATTGAAGAATGAAATTATGTTCATGTGACAAACCAGAAAGACAAATATCGCGATTAAAGTATGTAGGTGCGGAGAAGAGTTAAATTGATCAATTAACGCAAAAAGACTTGCGCTAACAATTAACTTAATTAAACGAAAACCCCGATGCGTTCTGATCGTCGAATAAGATAAGAATTGTCGACATCCGTTAGATAATCATAAAACCTGTCATAAAACTTCCATATTTTCTTGAGTAGATTAACTTGGTGATGACAGTTTTCTTGTCATTTAAACAGATTTCAAAAAAAGAAATTGTTGAAACAATCAGAATAATTTTTTGAGATTCCTTGTATTCATGAAAATCACACAACTCCTATAGAATCTTGGGTAGATCAATATAGTGAAAACCATTTTCTTGTCACCCATACAGATTTCGAGAGAAAAATTGTTGCAACATTCAGACTCACTTTTAAAAACACCTTGTAGAATTGGAACCAGAAGATGTGCGTTCATGAAAATTACACAACTGTTATAGAATTTTGGGTAGATTGATATAGTGAAAACCGTTTCCTTGTCACCCATACAGATTTCGAGAGAAAAATTGTTGCAACAATCAGACTCACTTTTTAAAACACCTTGTAGAATTGGAACCAGAAGATGTGCTTTCATGAAAATAACACAACTGTTATAGAATTTTGGGTAGATTGATATAGTGAAAACCGTTTCCTTGTCACCTATACAGATTTCGAGAGAAAAATTGTTGCAACAATCAGACTCACTTTTTAAAACACCTTGTAGAATTGGAACCACAAGATGTGCGGGTAGATTGATATAGAACGGATAATGACCAGTCGATGACTTTATGAATTTGATGTACTAATTAATTTGATAGATCACAGACAGCAAAAATATTTTACAATGTAATGGAATGATACTAATCGTAGATATTATAGCTGAGAAAATTGTGACACTTCGCCATATTATCTTTGTTGAATACATGTTATTGTTATATCTTTACATGTGTGTTCTGAGATGAATAAAGACGATTTATTATTATTATTAAATGTATTGTTCCAATTAAGTATTTTTCGAATCGCGTACCACCTGTAAACATTCGGGTACAATTTGTTGCTTCAAACAATACTGTAGAAATATCTACTTCTATTCGAAGAAATTGTCAACTGAGATATGTAAAAAGTAAAACAGAAGTGGAAAATAGCTTAAACTTCAAAGTGAAAATGGGTTTACGAAAAAAATAAAGACTGGACGATATTTTGAAACAAGAAGAGGTGGTACTGGATTCGATGCGGGCAAAATTATAGTCAAGCAAAGTAGAAATGAGTAATTTGAATTCAAAAAATACTACTGTGAACAGTATTAAAGTAGGTACAATATATTGAATTATACATTGATAACAGATTGACCTGAAGGCTGCCTACATTGATCATTCTGAGGTAGTATTACAACTATCTCACTTGATTTCAATGAATAGAAGGTAACATACACTTCAGTGATATCGCAAAGCCACTGACAGTCTGCGTTGATTTGCTACAATTGTTCTCAGCTCTATAATTATGATAAAATAATTATCATTTTTGGTAAAAAACTATAAATAAAAGTTTGAAATCAGTAACAAGTTCCGTTATTTGGGGAAGTATTGGGGAAAATACCTTTTTTATTAGAAACTATTACTTTTATATGCGTCAACCAGACTAGTTATGAATTATTTGATAGGTTCCTCAACGTTTTTCATTTCTGAAACTTTTTTGATTGACATAAAAAAATTTATGTGAAATGTTTCATTTAAGGAAAAACTAAGAATATGCTTTTGATTTTCGTTGTGTCGTTGAAAAATTTTGTGAAGTGTAATATCAATATGCATAGAAATTGATATCATATTCAGAAATACACAATAATAATAATAATATTAATTAAAATGAAGTTTGATTACAACTATGAGAATCATTATATAAAACGAATAAACAAGAAAACAAAATCACGAAGCGTCAGTGGTGAAACCGTTGTTTGTATGTGATAGGATCAACTGAACTCAAATATAACCTAGTTCAAATATAAAGTTTTCGGACAAGTTGTGTGCATTATTTTTCTGGCAACCGTGTAGAATAACAACCATCATCACTTCATCAGATTTCTTCAAAATTTGGAACCTCATAATTTATATTTGTTTCAAATATTGAAATGTGAACAGACGATAGATACATTCTAATTCACATCGATATTTATAAGAAAATTCAAGCAATTATCAGTATTGAAGAGATTCAATTTGTTTGATATGCTTGGTATATTTGAATGCCGTCTGTTGAAGTCAGAACAATAGTCTAATCAACAAGTTGAAAAACATGTAAAATAGAGATAAAGGTCTTAAAAATATGAGCGATAGCTCATTCGATTCGGAATCACCTTTAAAAAAATGTTTTGAAGGATTTTGGTGCCGGTGAAAAATTGCAATTGTTATTAAAAAAATAGGATTAAAATAAAAGGTGTTTAGGTTTTCGTTAATAACTGAAAAAAAATAAATATTTTAGCAAATCTGAAAAGAGCTCGTTGAAGAGGAGGAAATTTCCGATAAAAATTTTTCGACTCCCGAAACTTTATCTCCATTATTCATAATTTTATTTTGACGTTGAAAATAGGGTTCCGCGCGACTGTTACGGCAAGCGCTCGCTGCCGTTAAAAAGAGTTTGTCAAAAGAAATAATCTTTTCATAACATAAAATGTCATTTTGAAAATTTGAAAAAAATCTAGTATCTTCTTAACACTTTAATGAATCGAGTCCC